GTATTGGACGCACAATTCCATGGTGCCTTTGCGCGTGATATCACTCTAGTAAGGTGTTTACGAACTCATCAACAACTACCTATTGTTGTAATTCACTTGTCACGCAAGCCCCTGTTCACTAGCTGATTCTGTTTCATTCCCTCATTGTCAGATACTACCAGTTTTTTGAAGATCATTGTGCTTGAATATAGATAGATTTTTAGAGGGTTTCAAAACTTGCAAAAGTTTACGGCTCTTCGACAACAGAAAATCTTACAAGTTTACGTACAAATCTATAAACCTTCTTATGTAGCCAGAATGAGCTGCTTATAAGAGACATTTCGTCCTATAGGGACTAGAATATCTACACGCATCACCAATTGGTTGCCATGGATCACTCTCACCATGGGCATGTCTGATCGACCGGAATTGGGCAGTGCGTTTAACCGATTACGGAATTGCGGATAGCCTTGAGAGGTGGCAAAAAATGGGCATAATATCAGTTGAAGCGTTGAGAGAGGACAATGAGGGTTCAACCATTGAAAAAAGTGGATCACAGCAAAAAACAAGTTAGTCTGTGTTGATGTTCAGTCTGGTTAAAGGATATCTGAGCGCTTGTCTTTCACAGAGAGATTTCAATTGTTCAATCCATTCGCCCACTTATTTATTTATCATCTCTATCATTTGTGACCAATCCATCAACTTATTCAAGTGAACTCTTTAGTTTTTTCCAGCTTACTCGGATTTTAAAATTTTTCCTCATAATTCGACTGAGGAACATCGAACCTTTCACACTGAAGCACAATTGCTTCAATCAGTTGGTCACAGATTAACATTATTCCTTCCAAAAATGACAGCCCAAAGCCAACAAAAGTATCGATATATCGATAATAATTTCTGCAATGATCAATCGGGTATTTGAAGGTGTTCTGTATTGTGCGCCGGAGATGCTTAGAACAAGTGAGTCAAACCGTCGTCGTGGTATAGAAAAGAATTGGGTGCAGCAAACGATGGTGAGAAGACAAGCCGGTGATATATATGGATTTGGAATGATCATGTACGAGATACTCTTTCGATCGTTACCGTTCCCCGATAAGACCGATATCACCGGTACTATTTTCACCTAAGTACCATCATCGGATATTAAAAGCACTAACTTGATCCAGCGATACTAGGAA